TTGATGGTTGCTCCGCCGCGGCATGCTGGGCGCTGGGCGCGATGATGCCTGCGCTGCCTCCGCTGCCTCCGCGTCATCTAGGGCCGGCTGGGGGCCACTCTGGAGATGGTGGCTCCGCCGAGGAGGGTGCAGAGTGGCACGTCGTTGAGGATGGCCAAATCCAGCAGCTCCGGAGTGATGCGCCTGTGGGGCCTGTAGCGGGCCTCTCTGCCGGCCGACTCCAGCATGGTGGCAGTCAAGGACTGCAGCGTGGCGGCCAGGAACACCGACGCTGAGCAACTCAGACGTTGGGCATAGCGACCTTCGCGCAGGGCGCGCTCTACCTGGCTCACGGAGAAGATCAGCTCCGCCCTGGCGGTGGGGGAGCGGGCTCGCTGCCTCCCGGAACGGCCACGGGGACGGCCCGACGAGCCTTGACGGTTGCGGGAGCCTTGATGGCTGCTCCGCCCCGGCATGCTGGGCACTGGGCGCGACGATGCCTCCACTGCCACAGCTGTCTCTGCCGCCTCTGCCGCCTCCACTTCAGCTAGGTCGCTGGATGGCCGGCTCGGCCCTGCTCGGCTGTGCCGGGCTCGCCTCGGCTCCACGGCCACATTCTGCTGGCCTGCCGAGGAGCTGCTGCTCCTCCTCGGCCGCCGCCAAGGCTGTCCAGGACGAGCGCTGTCCATGGACGCTGCTCCGTCTCCTAGCGATCGCGGGCGGCCGTTCACCCGACGGGAGTGCGGAGCTCCACGCCGTGCGCCTCGGCCCGCGCGCCTGGCGTCTGAGTTATGGCGCGCGAATTCGCGCTGCCTCACGGGAAGTCTGGAGTGCAGGAGGATACCCCCCCACGAACACCCCCACCCGGCCCACCTGGAGGCTGCACAGCCGGGATGGTTACTTTGTGGCCGACCGACCCTGAGCTCATTGGTCCGGGCCGAGGCTTGGCGCGCATGTTGTGGGGGATGGGGTGAGGTCGCTGCGCTGGTGCATGCACTGATCCATGGAAAGGCAGCCGGCCGGCTAGGGCGCCTCTAGGAGCAGTCCAGGCCCAGGCCCGAGCCCGGGCCCAGGACTGCCTCCGGACCTCATCCACGTCCTGTTGCCAGCCGTGCCCCAGGCTCAGTCGGGCCTCTGGGCTG